CGGGCGCGCCCCGAAGCCCGGGCCTCTCGACGGGCCGGTGGACTCGCGGAGGAAGCGAGCCGACGCCGGGGTGCTGGGCCGGCTCTTCCCGCCCTCACGCCCGGTGTTCGCCTGGCTCTCCGGTTAGGACCTGTCCGAGACCTGCCAGGCAGGTCCCCCGCGTGGTGACACACGGGCCGGCTCCTCGGGACGAGTCTAGGCGGTCCCTTACCCGCCGGGCCGGTCGGCCGGCCCGCGAACCGCCCAGGCTGCGGGTTGCACGCGGCACGTGCCCCACTCCCGCCGCAGCCATGGCGGATTCGCTGTGTGCTGCCTCCTAGAGCCCCGCGCGGAGCCGAGCTCCGCGTCCTTCTCAGCGCGGTGCCCCGAGACCAGGACCCGCGGTGAAACCTATTTTTTCATTCCGATAGGCAGAGAGCCAGCCTCCATTTCCCTCCCGTCGCTGGACCAGCGCCCCCTGCGTTCCTGGCTTCGGGACCTGGTACCATTCACCCGAGTCCTCTTTCTGAAGGAGGTGCCAAGTCCTTGGTGGGACAAAGCGAGGTTTGTGGGAAAGAATTTTTTCACAGACTCCCTGAAATAGACCAGAAGCTGACAACCCCTGATGGAAACTGGTGTCCCGGGTACGCCTGGGAGCCGGCGGCGCCGCGGGCTCGGCCGGGACTGGGAGGCGGCTCCTCACGCCCTGCCCTTGAGTCCCCACGGCCGTGGGGACGCCGCCGGCCCTCGGGCTTCCTCCTCTCCGAGGGCGGGCCTTGGCGCTGTCTTTCCTTGGCATCTGCCAAGTCCACCGCTTCTCGTTTATCTCCAGCGCCAACTGGAGATGAGCTACCTGGGGGAGCCAAATCCTACTAAGACTTAGAGACGTAGCTGTCCGGCCTACAGAAGATTAGGAATTGCCACAGGGCGAGGAGGCCGAGAGGCCAGGGAGGGGACGGCTGCGGCTCGNGCAACTCAGCACTGGCCGCCCGGCCTGCTGCTGGTAGCCTGCCGGCCGGCGGTGGCATTAGCTCTGCTTTCCTTCCTGGCCACTCGGCCCCGTGTGTGCCCCATGTCCTGTCCCATCATTCTCCTTAGTTCCTGCACCCCTTTCCTGCTCAGCCTGCCCTCAGCACAGAGCCCAGCGGCGGGGAGGGGGTAAATAAAGAGCAAGTCATTCCAGAGGCTCCAGCTCCCGCCACCCAAACCCATTACCCAACGGG